ATAAATTATAAGGGGGTTAAAATTCGTTTTTCTGAATCAACTGTCGCGCACATGCACAAGACGTTTTGAATTCTTGTTTCCACCTTGGGGAAAAACAACCTGTCTGTACTCCTTTACGCATGACTGCGCAATATAATATTTTTCGTCCGCGGCAGTCTGGACGCTAATTAGAGCAAATGTTCTCTCAAAAGTTTACAGGGAATGACTTTGATACGTTATGGGATTTTAGACTTTAATGTCGTTTGGTCAAAATTCGAACGGAGAAATGGAAAAGGAACCTCGGCCCAATTCAAAACCCTCTATTCATCACTAAGCTAGAAACGTATCCATTACAAACCTGTACGTATAGTACTACACATTACTGGTAAATAATGGGAATGAAATTGATGATTGGAGCAAAACTTGTGTAAGTATGCTAAACTTGTAAACTTTTCACGGACGAGAACAGTAACTGACAGAAAGAGAATGACATAATCGTATTTAATATCGTCACAGACTAGATAAGAATGTTCCAACGAATTTATGATTGGTTTTCTAGCCGGGAGAGGGGGACTTCAGGAAAAAAATACGTACAGGCTTGCTCGACGGAAACTTCCAAAAATCTACCCGGCTAAAAGGAGAACGTTTTGACACGAATAGTGTACTCCATGTTTTTTTCTTCTACGTTTCGTTAATGATATAATCAATAAGTACAATATCCACGAGTTATGTTGCTATATAATCAATAAGTACAATATCCACGAGTTATGTTGCTACTGTCAGGCTTTATTACTTCAATTTACGTAGTCCAACTGAGGCAAATTACAATGTTAAAAATTCTTTTGTTGAACCTTGCTCATCGTTTTCTTCRTTTGCAGGATTTTCACGGACAACCAAACTCTTGGTATTGACAGTGTACAACGTGTCGTCGCTGGTATTACACTCTCCCGTCACTTGATACACGCTTACCGTTTTGGTTGGGGGGACTGGTATACGAGCTTCGTGCTTGACATCCCGAGAAAACGAGGTGGTAGAACTTTGTCCCCAGTTGTAGCCCGTGGTAGCGGAGACTGAAAGCTCAGCAGTAAAGACKTTTTTGAGGTTCAGCCCAACTTTGCCCGTCACGGAAGTACTGAAGCTTCCTCCAGACTCGGTGGTTTTAATCGACGAGGTTCCTTCAGTGATTGAGATTACTTGGGTCACTGTACCTTCAGACAGCTCGTTTTTTAGGGACGCAATTTTCTGCAGCTGTTAATTAATGATAATGAAAGTGATATAAATTTACGAATTGAACAAGAAATGGTTTTCAATTAAGGAGAGACTCATTAGATCTCCAGGACATGTATCATATACACCTAATTGAAAAAACGTAGTCGTGTTCGAAAAGGTCACATCATAGAAGCTAAGACCGAAAGGGACTTTGAGTACCACTAAATTGGGATTACATTTGCATATACGGTGTACACTAAGCAAGTAGAGCTAGTAAGATTAACAACATGATAGTCTTTTATGCTGGAGAGCTGTTTGTCATGAAATTAGCCAAATTGGTTGTCTTCCCAAGTACCCTTTCGGTCTTAGCTTCTATGATTTGACCTTTTTGGACCCGACAACGTTTCTTCAATTAGGTGTATGTATCAATATATTTTCCTAGTAATAGCGCACTATATAAGGTTGAGTTGTCACACAAAAACGAATCAGTACGAGGCTCAGGGGAATAATGCWTAGTGGTGCGCGAAGAGTTTTGAATGCAAACATCTAAGCTACTTGGCTCACTCATTGAACACCATTCCAATGMAAGGAGGTTGAGTTTTATGGCTATTTTGCAACGTTCTAGAAAGACGGTTTCTTCGATAGACCTTCGATAAGGTCAGTTTAATAGTCGGTCAAAAGTGACAACATTGAAGCATTGTATAATGACTGTATTATGTCTACTCTTATTAAATTATTATTACCATCATGATTACCTTGTCAGTAGGTGTGCAGTCGATTCTACAGCTGAAAATTATGAGCAGCAAGAAAATTTATCAATATGCATTTCAAACACTTGACTTTTCTACATGTYTTGAAGTGTTTTATAAAGTTTTACATACTTTGCCTTATAGGAMGAAAACAAGTTGGCACCCAGATCCAGTCTTCCCTCAAGTCCCTCGACCACACATCCATTGCGACTCTGACCCGATCCACAGAAATTGTAACAATAGCAGAATTGGATAACTTGTTTCACCCTGACCTCGTTCAGTGTTCCTTGGCATGGTTCATATTGTTTATACAGATCGTTGCTCGTTGGGTAACTTCTTATCCARGAATCAAATGTCTTTCCATCGTCACTGCATTCGCCCATTAATTCGCGCGTCTTCCTTCCGTTTGTTTCTCCACAGCTTCGCGCTCTGTTTGAAGATTTTAAWTTTTTTTAGTGCAGAATCAAWTAAATTTTTCGAGTTGTTTTGTTTTTTAAATCAAGAAAAACTCAAAATCTTGCATTATCGGTGATCMTAGTGATGGATCATGAGTGTACTTACTTTGATTTTCCAGCCAAAATGAAAACCAGAAGCAGACAAATACCGGCGAAAAGATAAAACCTCTTCATTCTCCTTTCAACCATTGATGCTATGTTRTCGTTTCTTTTAGAAAAACCTAATTAAAAAAATTAAAACTAAACCATATCTTAAATGTAATTCTAAAGCTAAACAGGTTGGAAAAAGCTCGAACCCTCTTCTCATTAAACCTCGGCTTCGCGTCGTGGTTTCCTACACTATAGATAAACTGCATGCCTTTGGTAGATTGTTTATATCTAAACCAGACCCATTTATAGCGTATACACGGGCGAGCAATTCATTTGAATATTGAGAAAGACATGGTTGGTCATATAGGCGAACAAGAGAAAAGTTATAAAAGAGCTCAATTGAAAAGTACCGAATAAAACAGCACTTTTCAACACCTTTAGGGCACGAGTACACCGTGATGTCAGGGTCTAGTTTTATATGTTTTTGCTTTGAAGGTTAATTAATGAAAATACGGCAGGGAT